GAAACTTTTCTTGATTTTGAAGCGATTGCTCTTGCTTCTCAATCTCTTCTTCAAGCTCATCATTCTTTTCAACTATCTTCATGATGATGAACTTGTCTTTATGGTTGAGATGATCAAGGTTGTAGTTGTCTTCAACTTCAACATCACTCTTATCTTGATCATCTACTTGTGCTTTCTCCTTTTCTTGATCTTTCTTGTTATTCTTCTTCTTGCTTTTCTTGGCCATGAGACACAACCGATGAGTATCATGGGATACTGAGGTTGACTCATCACTTGGTCGCCATCGGGCTTGAGCATCGTTGCAAACAAATTTGCTTCTTTGATCTGCTTTGCCTCGGCCATACTGGACACGTCCGGTGGGCATACCGGACACGTCCGGTATGTGCGACGAGACAAACCGTCATGTCTTTGCTTGCACTTCTTGCTCCGCCTCGGTGCTCTTGAGGTCTTGTGAGGCTTCTTCATTGTATGATGACACAATGGACATACTTTCCAATGACTTAATCTCAAGTGCATCATCACATTTGGATTTTCCATACAAATCAAAAAGTCTAGTCCAAATGAGATGAGCACTCTCCGGAGGTGGTTGTCCATTGAAGATTGCCTCATCTTGAACCTCTACACTCAATGTACTCAAAATAATATTAATAGCTTGAGCATTGAGTTGCACGCATATCTCTTCCTCTTTTGACAAATTTTTGTAGTTGCTCCAATCAACTATAGAAAGAGGTATGCTTGCAACTACAATATGCTCAACAAGAGGACTAATATCTCTAAAAGCATTGAGTACATGTATTGACCAAGTTAGAAAGTTTGAACCATCATTTTGGAGAAGCACCGGCTCCAACTCGATAGGCGTCGACATCCTTTTCTCACGGCGGTGAAGCTTTAGGTGAGAACCTTTCTCTGATACCAATTGAAAGGACCTAGGATGTCGCCTAGAGGGGGGGTGAATAGGCGTTTCTGAAAATTAACACCTTTAAATGCGGAAACAATTAGAAAGGGGAGTTTCCAAAATGGAAACTCCAAATTAAGAGTACTACCACCCCTCACAAGTTAGCCACAGAGTAAACAAGGTATAAAGAATATATCTAGAAGCTACAACCCTGCAACATCAAGTTAGAACAGAGAATAAATATTTTTAGTGCAGGCAGGAAATACCGGACGTGTCCGGTATACACGATTTCTGCAGATCAGCCCCGAACTTGCTCCTTTTGATTTCTATCTTCAAACCAAACTGCAGGCACCTAATTTAACTATCAAGATACACAGAGAACTCTGCATAAGTGCTAGAGCAACACAAATATCAAATGAAATGCGAATTGAGACCGATATTTGTTTTACCAAAGTTCGGACTCGTTCGAGTCCTACTCTCCGTTGAGGGGGCTGCAGGCGACCAAATGAAGGTCAGCCCTAGAGGATACCACGAAAGGTCACTCTAGCCGAGTCTTTTCCAACTCCTTTTCCTCCTTCCACTAATTTATTCCGGTAGCGGAATCGACTTCTACAAACTTTCCGAGGCACACCACAATCTCCCCGGTGCTCTCCGTGACGTCTAACCGTCTAGGACCGAAGAGTCCAAGAGTAACAAATCACGAATCACGAGATTGACAATATGCACAAGTGCTCAAGTGGTTGGATGGCTCTCTTTTGAATTTCACTCAACCCACAAATTGATTTTGCAAGCTTGATCAATCACTCACTAAGAGAGGGTTGGCAAGGCTCAAAAACGTGTGTCTAAGTCAAGTAGAATCAGCAGCCTCAAAGGTGGAGGCTTGGGGTATTATAGCCCCCTTGAAAAACTAGCCGTTTATAGCCGTTTGCAATACCGGACACGTCCGGTATGCATACCGGACACGTCCGGTATGACTCGATCTAAATCAACGGTAACTAAGTTACTGATGATGTTGTGAGAGGCATCGGAACTCCCGAAGAATGCCGGGACTTCCGACCGTCGGAACTCGACACAAGTCGGAACCCCGACCCTCAAAGAATTTTGAAAAACATGTAAGCTGAGTTAAAGTTAATGAGGTGTCGGAACTCCCGACATATGTCGGAACTCCGACCGTCGGAACTCCCGACATCGTCCGAACTCCCGACCCTCACGGCTTTTGAAAACTAGCCGTTGGCTTCGGTCATCCATACGGGACACGTCCCGGTATTAATACCAGTTCGTCCGGTATGACCAGGACGAAGAACCCTCCAAGTCGGTTGAAGTCGACGTCGTGAACTCCCGACCCATGCCGGACTCCCGACCGTCGGAACTCCCGACCTCGTCGGAACTCCCGACTAACCAACCCGAGAACAGCAATTTTACAATTGCTTTGGACAAATCTGGGACACGTCCGGTATGAATACTGGACACGTCCGGTATTGCCGCACCAAAGAACAAATCGCTTAGCTCTTTTGTCTCTCAAATACTCAAAACTCACATGGGTTGGCTTGAGCACTTATGAAACATTATCTATCAACATGATGCATCCCTCTTAATAGTACGGCATACCTATTAAACTCAAGACAAACGGAAAATATGAATTTGTACCACTTGAGTTGTTCTTTTGAATTGATGCCGTCCCTTCCAATCTTCATCAAGTAAGGGTGCTAACATGTTGATGTTGATCTTTCACTTGAGCATAGCCATCTTGAGCATGTGACTTGATTCCATTCATCAAGTTTGAATAATCCCAAATGTATCAAGTCACTTCCATCAAATACTTCATTATAGATTTGATCCTTCACATCAATATGACCATCTTAGCTAGACTAGTACCTCAACTAAATGCAAGTACTTTCTTCTTCACCCTAGCTAGGTTCTTCGGCCGCCAAGCCGTCAAACTTGCCCTTCACCCTTGCTTAGTACCTCGAAGCCTTTCCTTGCTATCTTCACCATCTCAAGCCATCAAGTCACATCTTGTGTTGAATCATCCATTCATATGTATTGTTATCTTTTTCATTTTAATTTAGCAAGCTTCAGATATGAGACCATTCCATATGCAATCCATCATGTCTCATTAACTAATAATCATGAGCTTGCTATCACATAGTACATGAAAATCCCACAATAAATAAGCCTTCACATGAATTCCATTTGCATTGTTGTCTTGTGCTTGAACTAGATTGTTTATACAACAACACATCATTTTGGCTTTCATTAAGTATCTATGAGATAACCTATTACCTGTTCACACTTTAGCAAACGGGTTAGTCCTTTAATCATGTTGTCATTCAATCATCCAAAACCCACTAAAGGGCTAGATGCACTTTCACCTTGAGCCTTTTGTTTTTCTCTTTCTTCTTTTCCAAGTTCAAGCATTTGATCATCACCATGCTATCACCATTGTCATGATCTTCATCATTGCTTCATCACTTGGAGTAGTGCTACCTATCTCATAATCATCTTGATAAACTAGGTTAGCACTTAGGGTTTCATCAATTAACCAAAACCAAACTAGAGCTTTCACCAATGCACCACTAATGTGTCTCTTCTATTTCTAATATGAAGACATGAAGTGGTTTAGAGTAGTGTAAATCTATTATTTGATATGGCTCAATATGTATCTATGCTAGCTTGATAATTGATTTGTTGATATTTTTCTGAAGCCTCTCATCTGGTACAGCTGTAGTATTTGTTCATGTACGAACGCACGCCTACACTACACACACACCCCACACACACTAGCCACTTGCACAACTACACCTACAGCTATACACAGATTAGAAGACTTCGTCCTCTTCTAGAGATCACCGGAACCATCCATGGCTCGTTGGCGACGGACGCGTCGCAATCCCTTTGTGGCTCCATGTGGGAGAGGCTGCAGATTATTAATGGGTAAAACCCGGTGAGAGACGCGAGTTTGATTCTCGTGCCGACAGTGAGCACACCTAACTGCGCTAGTCACCCGAGCCTAGCTTGGCTCTCTATTTGTTGATAATTGATATGAAGTGATTTGAAGGACCGTAGCTTATTGCTTTAAAATGTTGCTGGAATTTTGTCATAATTGGTAGTTTATCAATTTCCGGTATATCGGTAAAACCTGAACCCGAATTAACTGGTACCTAAATTACCCAACCCAAGATTTTTGTTCACTAATCCTTTACCATTAATAGAGTTCACGGCTTCTATCATTGGTCGTCCACATTTTTCCTTGCCCAACTGTGTGCTTGATGTTTTAATTAATTTTCATTTTTTTGATAATTCTATATATTAATTAACTACATTTCTATGGGTTATCTATTTTGGTGTTCCACATGAAATGCAAATGGTGAAATGGAAATTAAAATTGAACTTTGTTATTATCCTCAGCTTATATGTTTATTAATTGTATTTTACATTGACTCTTTATTTAAGTATTTTGCCTTTTCATTTCCCACCTAAATCAAACTACTTATTGTATTTTGCACAAAATTTTATTTAATATAGGATATTAGATTACCATTAACAGTCAATGTTGTTGATCTTATTATTTCTTTCGATACTCTTGTAATTTCCATACTTTTAAAGTGAGGGTGGGGACTTCTTTTAACTCTCAAATATTAATGGGATCTGCTCCGCGTCAGTTGATGTACCGCTTGCTTATCCACAAGTCACCAAATTGTAAAGTAGAACGAAATGCTAGTTAGGACGGTTTGTTTATATCTGTAATAAGTCACAAAAAGTTGACAATAATTTAGCTAGAAATGAGCTTTGAATCCCAATTACAGTACCAATTCTACCGGGCGACAGTTAGCTTTTCTTATTCCAATGTTCAATTCCTTGCCCAGTTCAATGAACCAACCAGAAAATGAATCATTTTGTCACTGCCTGCCGTCCCCCCAAAATAATCGTTTTGCCAATAATGCCAACGAGTGATTACAATCAATGGAGTTGCTAAGTTTATAGAATATTTGACAGTAGACATTGCCCCCTGTATTTTTTAATACAGTAAATAATAACAACGTGTACTACACAAGTCTACAGCAATGAAAACATGTTCCATTATCCGTCATTAAAATACCACCAATCATCCTTCGAACAGCTCTTCCAATTGCTCCCCCAATTCAAGGGGAGTGTTGATGGGTGGCCTATTGCTCTTCCCCTTGGCTGTTCGCTCCGCGAAGTACTTGCTGTAACCTGGAATGACTTTCTCAACGATGGCTTTGCGCAATCTCTTCCTAAGCTCAGGGTTTGGAACCTTCCACTGCTTTTGCTTCTTGTAAGTTTCATCGAACTCTGTTTCGAATTTATCCAGCCTCCCGCCAAGCTTCAGGAAGCCGCGAGGTATGTCATGGTACAAGCAAGACATCACTGGCTCCCAAGAGGCGTCGAGGTAAGCTTCTATGAAGCTCTGGATCATGAGAAGGCCATCCAGATTTGAGTCCGTTTCTATTTGCTCCTGAAGATTTGGATCTGGCTGGTTAACGTAATCTTCCATTGGGGGAGGTCTTTCTCTGGGATCTCGTTTTTTGGGCCTGTCGATCTTGTAATCTTCGAACAGAGTCCAGGACGGCAGGAGCAAGGACGAAACCTTCTGCGAAATGAAGCTGCAGTTGTTCATCAAGAATATGTACCGCAATCCAGGGTCGGAGATAAAATTTGATGTCTTCTCCAGCTGCTTCTCCAAGCAAGAGATCATATCCTTGATGAGGATATCAACCGAGCTTGAGTAGTAATCGGGTTGATGAGACAAGTGTCGTTGTTGGTCCTGCAGGATGAGACTGAGCGCACGTTCGTTTCGCGACAGCAGCATGATATAGTTCATCATCAGCCTGGTGGTCTTGTGGACGCCACCGGCCTCTGCCGATGAGACTCTCCAGCTGTCGTCAGTGACGAAGGAAGCTCTGACTTTCTCCATCATGCTCCATATGGCATCGCTCAGCCTGTTCATCTTCCGTAGGAATACAGAGTTCATGGCGTCGAACATGGAGCTGGCCATGGACGCCTCTTCGAACAAGGCCAGGACGGCCGGCGAGTCATCCACGACGCAGGTGTACACCAGCAACATCCCCGGGAGCATCTCCGGCGCCTGGTCGTCGTTTAGAGCGGCGTCAGCCACGGCGTCCACGAAGTCAAGCATCCTGAGGATGCTTGCCTCGGCGAACCGCACGAACTGGGCCACCTCCTGCTCGCGCTCGTCCATTTTTCCGGTGGCCAGCAGCATGAAGTGCCAGATGGCCTTCCTGACCCCGCCGACGGCGACGGTCGGCCGCTTGGCGCGGAGTTCCTGCTGCGTGATGCAGAACACCTGCACCATGGTCTTGAGAGCTTTGATCCACCTCTCCATCATATCCAGGAGGGAGGCGAATCCATCCTCCAGGTGCAGCTGCTCCCGGTCTCCTTTCCCGATACTGAGTACCCACTCCACGTCCAGCTCCGAGAACCAGCTCCCCAAAAGGCTCTCTTTGAGGCCGAAGCCGAGACCGCGGCGGTGTGCCGATGAGGAGCGACCATCACCGAACGCTCGGATGAGGCCCTGCATGTAGCCGTCGTGGACCATCTGCAGCGCGATGGCGCGGAGCTCCTCGACTCCATCAGGGTCTTCTGCAGCCTCCCAGCCGGAGGAGAAGGACGAGGACAAGGGCGAGCAACGGGCCCATGCATCCAAGGACGGACACGGACTGGAGGCGGAGCTCGCGCTCGACCAGCAGTAGGCTCCATCTCCCGCCTCAGTGTCGCTGCTCGAGGTGAATAACAGCAGCGCCGACCTGCACTGGCTGCCGGAGACGGAGACTCTACGGATCGAATCGCGGTAGGTGCGCAGCGGGAGGCTCCCCGGCACCGGCGCCGCCAGCATGCTCGCTGTGCTGCCGCCGTACTGCACCATCTCCGATTCTGTATGCAGTAAGCAGACTCTAGCTCGCGGCTACGAGTGATGACTTCGCTAATAATGGCTCTAGTTGCCTGGAAAGGACATTGGCGATTGTTTTCGTTTTTTGTGAGCTGAAGCAAAGTTAGTGGCCGATCGAGCGAGCGTCATTTTCTCAGCGAGGTTGGTCAATGGCGTAGCAGTTGTGGCCTAGCAAACGCCAAGCAAATGCAGGAACCGTCGCGTTCTGCATAATTAGTCGTTCCGACCTTCCGCGTGGATCGATGGGAGACGTGTAGAAAAAAAAAAGGCAGACCATCGAAATCTCAAGCGCCGTGTCAACCTGAAGGTAGCACGTGGTTTGCCGAAGTTTCGCCCTAGTGTGCAAGCGCCTTGTCAACCTGAAGGTAGCACGTGGTTCCGCTGAGAAAATGGACATACTGGGTGTTTGGCATTGTAATGGTGGAGAGCATAGCGGACATGGCGGATGATGAAGCTGTCACGCTCCCTACATCGAACGCAATTGGAGAAATTTGATCGATTAGTGTTAAACGTACACACAAAAAATACATAAATAAATAAATCCACTGTGCTCCCTTATTGAGTGCGAACAAACCTTCTCCGTAAACCATATTATCAACAAAACTGGACCTGATGGGTAATATCACACCTTTCCATAACCCAATTCTCCAGACACAATAAGAAGGCTTCAGAATTTGGTAACAGCAAGCTTGTGGATGTTGTGATGGTGAGGAAAAATCATAAGGGCAATTGGCTGTCACTCACTCGTCACATCAGAGATTATCATGTATAGAGTTTCACAACTTAATTCCTTATAGGACTTCCTCAATTGGTGCATGGAAGAAAAAACATAAGGCTTGTGTCTTAAAAAAACATTTCTCAGCACAATATGTTAACAAGCCCAATCTAATATTTGTTCGCTTGTTGGTTTCAGCCAGCCCAAACCAGCCAACCAACAGTGTTTTCCTCTCCAAAAAAAAAACAGCACCAGCCAGCCCAAACCAGCACCAGCACCAACCAGCGAATAGGCCCAGTGTGTTAGGCTGGTCCTTTCCCACACTGTGAACAAAATACAAGCAGGCAGCCATCTCGGCATCTCGCTGTTTCATCTTTTTTCAACTTCCTCTATTCTCGTCGAGTACAACATGTTGCCGCCGCCTCCCGTGAAGCCCTATGACCATGCTAGCTCTTGCCACCAGCGGCTGCTCAACCTCTACGTAGGGCCTTGTGATTGCGCAAAACCATATGCTCTCAAGAAACGTATACCCACATAGAATGTAAAAGGCATTATTTTAGAACTGATTCCGTAGTTCCACATTTTGGAATATAATGGTGAAGAAGCTCAATTCATGAAGAGTGCCTAACTATTGGATAGATAGATCATGAGTCACTGCTCCAAAGTCATTGGTAAGAATAACTTTTTCTAGGCAAATATTAACAACCCACCCCCACCCCTAAATTCCTAAATCCTGGTTCTGCCCCTGGACATCGGTTTCCCTTCAACTGCAGTTGTCAGAAGACACATGCTGTCATTACAACACAGCCCAACAAAGCAGAGTTATACGAACGATTTTTTTTTTTCATTTGAACCCGAAGGGGCACTAAACAGGATGACACTTTGTTTGGGCTGCGACTCTTAAAGGAAACTTTTCATTGACTTGTAAATAGATCTATCTGTGCTATGTGCAAGCGGATATTGCATAATCAAACTTAACTGCAGTCTTTAACACACTATAGCATAAGATATTTAAGTTAATTACTGCTTTCTTCTAGGTCTAGTATTGGTCTGCAACTTTGTTGCTTCCAGGTTTTACAGGCCTGATCCCTAAAGCTCCAAAGCACATAACACGGTGCAGGAAAGTTTGTGTCATTCCAATTTTCTTAACAGAACACACACATGGACCATGTAACTGAATTTACTTCCAATCGTAAGTTCAATACCTCAGTTGGACTTGTATAACTTGGTTCCTATTCCGAACTTTCAATATGCTGCAATAAGAGGTATCTGAATATGCTTGTACTACTTTCAATCAACAGTCTTAATGTAGGAACTGGAAAGCGTTCCCAATTGTCTGCACCAAGTTCCTCTTCGGGTTTTCCAATTGATAGCAAGCATTTCCAATTGTCAAAACATCTATGGCAGGGATCTAACCCTGTTCGATGTAACTCAGTGACTGGGACTGCTAAAGTTGAAGCATAACTAAATCTGTACTTAAAAGTACCTGAACTCTTCAATTCAATTTGGGAGTGAACCTATTTCAGACTGCAGCCGCTTCAGAGGTGAAAGGGGGAGAGGGATTGTTTCAGGTGGGCAGGACGTACCCTTCTGTGTACACGTCAAATAATGGAGGGGAATTCTTGTTCCACCGCTTCACGACACGCTCGTGTTCGCGCAAGCGGTTCTGCAACCGTACCTGCTCCTCACAGGAGAGCTGCGGGAGCAGGTCCTCCAATGCCGGTGCTGTCCACGGCTCCCATCCAAACGCCCACTCGTCTGCCGATCCCATCATTGATTTGGCAATATGCCCCGGTGAAGGTGGCCTGTGGAAGGAAATTGCCATTCAATTTTTGCAAAGGAACTTCAAAACAATTCACTGCAGTGTATATTAGCAATGACATTAGGTAATAAATCTAGTTCGTGGTGGAAAAGGTAATAAATCTACTTCAATCTTTTCTAAAAGAATAAATCTAGTTCAATGCAGTGATCATATCTAATAGACTGACAGCAGCTGCGAACCATCGGACAACAGATTAGCATCAATTTATTTAAACTGGCACCGAGATGGCAGTAAACAGCAACTAAAATCGGCACGGGCAATCATCACGAAGGGAGTAGCCCTCTTAGGGCCTGTTTGGAACACATGAATTTCACAGCATGCGGCCCTGAGGTACTCCATACAGGAGGAAGAGAGGTTACCCAGGCTTGGGGGCTTCAGGGCGGTGTCCTGGCATCGGAACCCCGGCGCCAGGCAGTAGGCCAGCAGGTGTTGAGGCCGGCGCCGGCGGGCCAGCGCTTGCGTCGGCCGAGGAGGGCAGGGAAGAGGGATCTACGCCTCGCTGGCGGAGGCGAGCACCAGGGCGTCTGAGAGCGGGACCCTAGCGCGGGACGAAGCAGGAGGAGGGAGGCGGTGTGCGTCCTGCGTCGCGCCGGGAACGGATCCGAGAGGAGAGAAACTCCAACCTGAAGCCCATACGGAAGACAGGGTGCAACGACTCGAGTATGGTGATGGTGGCAAGACGAGCTTTTACACTTGTGCAGTACTACACCACAACACCAATATACAAGGCAAAAAAAGAAAAAAAAAGAATGCGAGCTTTTGATTTGCGGGAGCTGCTAGACTTGACTGTGAGCACAGGGTTATAATTTGACATAAACAACATCATCCACCTTAAACTAAGGCTTAGAACGGTGCTTGCCAGCTTGATATTTCACCCATTGCTGTGCACGACGAGCCAAGTGTTGTGGCTTGACGGATCACTAAGTGTAGCTTGTGTTTAAGCGAACTGTGATAAAAACATTTGGATCAGATTAAATTGAACAGTTGCATCATACCAAATCGAATTCAATTAAAAACTCCACGTAGAACAAGTACAAGAGATTGACCGTTCGCCGAACATCTCCCAAACACAAGATGAAAAAATGAACATGCGAAGAGGAAGAGACGGAGAAAGAGAGATCGAGCGCAAACCTTGAATTGACCTCTCATGGTCATGGGAGAATGATTTGGTGGATACTTTCTCTGTTCTAAACTATAAGTCATGTTGTCTTTTTTAATGTATAATGTCGGTATAGAAAGTGACCAACTAGTCAATATTTATAGTTTTGCTGTACGTTGTGATCGGAGGTGGCCTAGCACTCAAAGACACATAATATATACTGGTTCAGGCAACGTGCCCTACGTCCAGTGTGGGTCAGTCGGTGACTTTATTCCTGAGGTCAGGTACTCGAAGTCTGTAGTGGGGTTACAAACGAGAAGGAGAAAGGAGGGGTGTACGAGAGGCCCGGTCGGGTCCGACCGGAAGGGCCGAGAGCTACCGGAACTCCGCTATGAGCTAGGTGTTCAAACGTGTGCTTGAGGGGTTTGTGAGCTATCGATCTAGTGAGTCTGAATTTAAAGAAGTGGATCTCCTTCGTTGGAGGGAGCGCATCCCCTTTTATAGATAAAGGGGATAACTTTACAGGTGAGAGGGAGAGAGTACGGATGTTACTAAGCCTTGTTGCCCACGCCGACGAGGGTAGCGATGATGGTAGGCGCCCACAATACTGTTGACGTCACTGTAGAATGTCAGGTGCGGAGGTTGTGTTGGCTTCTTCAGGAAGAGTGGATGTTGGTACCTGCAAAATACTGTTGGTTTGTGAGGAGCTCTACCACGTGTACCAGCTATGGTGAATCCTGGCGCCCACAGTACCATCGATGCCCAGAGACATGTGGGGGATTTTTGCCGTACGGGAGTCCAACGGCGCATACAATACTGTAGATACAAATGTCGACGCCTATAATACTGTTTGTGTCAGGGCGGTTGTGGAGCGCTGTTCCCACAGGCGTACAAGGTATGGTCCCGGTATCGTGGTTTTGACTTTGTGCGCTGCCTTCTCTGTTCGCCCCTGGTCCCTTCCAAGCGGTCGTCCCCGGTCGGATGGCCCCAGTCGGAGAAGAGCGGCAAGCAGACTTCCTACGGGCCCCCGGTCGGAAAGCACGGGGTCGGAGTAGGAAGCAGTGTTTTGGGCCAGGCATTCCGATCGGAGGGACCGCCCGGAGGTGGCTGGTGTCCGAAGCGAGTGCTCTGGTCGGAGAGGTGGGCCTTCCGATCGACGAGGCCGTCCGGAGGCGGCTGGTGTCCGAAGCGAGTGCTCCGATCGGAGAGGTGGTTGACGAGCGGGCGTTAGTCCTTTCGGGTACACCTTCCGGTCGGTGACCGAACTGTCCTTTCGGCCCGTTGTGTTTTAGACTCTTGGGCTGGCCCAT